CAAGCTTCTTTTTAAATTTCCTTTTAAAAAGAAGCAGCAAGGATGGATGTATTTTCTGTGTGCATAAAGCATCTTGCATCTGAGTGCATCTGTGAGAGAATGATACTATATGTATTTCTCTTGGTAGGGAAATACTAGTTGCAAATACAGAATTGCAGTTTCAGTGGACCAGAGTGATTACACAAATGAGGTGTTCAGGATCGTTGCTAATGTCACTAATTTGTACGGATTTATGCATTCTCTGCACCCTAGAATTAATAATGAATATGCTCACTCTTGTTTTATGTAATTGTTGTGTTTTAAATGTTGTTTGTGGAGTGGAAGGTTATGTAAACATAATATATTAAATTTTATTCAATTTTAAGACATTAAATTGCATAAACATGTATATATATGACAATATTTAGAGTATACCAATGGCCAGTTTCATCATTCACTTGGGTGTAAGGTGACAGCAGGTGATGAACATGATGCCTGATGATGCGATCACACTAAGGTCAGAGTCTTTGGCACTGATGGTTTTGTGTTTTGGAACATAGGCTCTGGAACAGAGAGGGAGATTGTCTTGAGTGTGGGACACATGAAGAAGGAAATAAGGCAAGGTGCGAGCACCTGGGCTTGCTCACTGGTTTGGTGTGAAGGCATCCATTGCTGGGCAGAAGTGGCTATAGAAGAAATAAGTTTTAATTATAAAATACAAAATAAGAATTTTATTTTCTTTCTGTGTGTTGGAGGTCAATCAGCTATAACCTAGGATGTAATCCTTGCGGGCAACAGTTTGGCTTTCTGAAGTCAGATAAGATTTTGATATGTTCCTAAGTATAATGTAACTTTACAGTGGTTCATGTTTGGGGAATAAAAATTTAGAATATTTATTTGGACGTTGTAATGTCTTGTTACTGCCTGTGCATATAAGAGTTCGAATTGAAAGGGAGGCTCTGTATCTGAAGGCTACCTGCTTTGGCTATTATTGTCATCCCAGCCAATTTGTCTGAATTTCAGATTGCATCATCTTTGAAAGTGGTAGTTCTATGCATGTTCTTAAGACAGTGTTTCGTCCTACAGGCTGTTTCACACCAGTGGAGCATATAACCTTTTGTAAGCTTTGTTCAATCCAGGTGTGCTGACTGGAAGCAGCACAAGCCTTTTCACCTGTAGTCCATCTCAGATGAAGATATTAACAGAGAGCAGTACTTAATAGAACCACCCTGGTACCATTGGTTCCCAAGCCCACCACTCCCACCCCCTGGGGGAATTAAGTAGAAGAAGCTGAGAACAGTCCATCCCTGCTTGTACTGGTCAGCTTGGGCTGCCATAGTAATATGCTACAGACTGGGTGGCTTAAACAACAGAAATGTATTTTCTCACAGTTCTGGAGTCTAGATGTTCAAGATTAAAGTGCTGGCAGAGTTAATTTCTGCCAAGAACTGTCTTTCTGGCTGCAGCCTTCTCTCTGCATCTTCATGTGGTGGAGAGAAAGAGCTCAGGTCTCTTCCTCTCTGTAAAAGGACTGTACTCCCGTGGGGTTAGGCCTCCACCTTATGACCTCATTTAACTCTAGTTACTTCCTAGAGCCCCATCTCAAAATACAGTCACATGGGAGTGGGCTGGACATCAATGTACGGATTTAGGGACAGGGTGGGGGTGAGAGGCAACACACCTCAGTACATAACCCTGCTCGCACACGTGAGCAGTGTGACTTGTTTTCTATTTTCTGGACATAGAACATGTTAGTACCAAGTTTGGCTAGAAAATGAATCCCCTAAAATTTGGTATTATGCTTCCCTCATTATTATCTCTTTTTCTCAAGTCAGAGCTGGGTCTGTCTGAAATGCAGCTTAGGCATTTTTAGGTGATCATTCCCCTATTGTTAGAAAGATTTCCTGCACAGCAAAAGAGTATGAGAGGTGTTGTGTGTAGGAGGAATAAAGCTGTAGGAAAATGTCCACTGTACTCATTGTTAAGCAAAAATAAAATCAAAGGGCTGAATTTGTCTGTGTCAAGCAGAGGATAATAAAGGCCAGCATTGTTAATGTTGAGGGGAGGAGACAGTCTCTTGACACTAATGGTGGGCAGATATGTCGGACCAGCCTGGCTACAGGGCATTTTGTTTTGGTTCTCAAAAGTCTGAGATACACATGGGTTCCCCATTCTATCAGTACCACTTCTAGGAATTTATCTATTGAAAATATCTTAAATGTAAGAATGGGATAAAAATGATAAACAAAAGATAGCTAGGTAAGTTATGCATTTGAATACTAAGAGTTCATGACATTATTAAACTATAGAATAATTTTTGTTGACATAAGAAATAGTTTATGATATGTTGATTGGCAAAAAACTTTTCACAAGGCAGAAACATTACATTAGTACTCCATTATGTAAAATTCATTATACAGAATGAGTTAAGCCAGAAAAAAACATTATGTCAGAAAAACCTATTATCAGAAAGTAGTAAAGTAAACGTACTTACCTGGGATGGTAGAATTACCAATGATTGCTCTTCATTATCTTTTCTTTATGTTTTGCTACATTTCTAGATTTCTTGGATTTAATACAGAGTAGGTACTAATTGTTAGTAGATTATCTCTAATAAAGACTAAAGTACTTAGCCATATCCTGCAAAGTCAGAAGACATATCTTTTTATACTTATAATTATGCAACCCACAGCTTAGTTCTGGTACCCTTTACATAGTCCCCCTTCTTCTCCTATGCCCTGAGCTAAGAAGATTGAGGGTGGAGGTTGGCAGTCCCCAATTCATACACAGTGATGACCAATGGTTGAATCAAATCTGGATATTAAAAACTGTGAGCTATAGACATTATTCCAAGTCACTTTCATTCAGGCATAGAGAGTGCCTGGGAAGCAGGAACTCTGTGAGGTGGAATAAGCCTTTAAGATTTCACTTTTCTTTCTGTTATTGCTATAAGGAGAAAGGGGTAGATAAACAGACTGAATTCTTCCTTATACTGTGTGGGTCAAAGCTGTCAAGTGCCTAAGGATATTCCTTGATTCATTGCTTATTAAATCTCATATTTTATTATGGCAGAGTAAGATTTTATAATGCTGTGTGGACTAGCATTTATGAGACAGTACAGGTGGAAACAGGTTGACACATCAAAGGACACTAAAATAGGGATACAAGGGAGAAAACCTGAGTAACTGGCCCACTTATATTAATAACTTTGGGACCTTAGATCATTTCTTTGTCAAATAAAATATGTGAATAATAATACTGGCCTAGAACCTGGATTCACAAAGGCACAACAAAATTTAGAGAGCACAAGGGAAAATAGTAATTTGAGAAAGACTCCTCTCCATTCTCCACTGAAGGCTGTCCTTGTGCAGAGTCCCCTTTGGAAGCCACTGATGTGGATATAGGTGGAGACGCAGGTCAAGGGGGGCCCTCCCAAGGACAAGAGGTGGTTTTGCCCTCAAAAGCTGCCATTTCCCTTCTTACTCTCTGCTCCTGTCCCTCCCCCATCTGTAACCTCTTGACGGAAAATGGCTTGGAATAGAAATAGGGCGTGGCTTTCTGGCTCTTAGCCATGACATTTGTTGATCTGTTTGTCTAATTCTGATAATTCTAATGCTTGATCAAATAAGAAACCACATATGAAAGCCAGTTGAATACACAAATGTACTTCGTTATTGTCTTCCCGAACCCACCACAATTAATTAAATCTCTTGCTTTCATCCCGTTGGTATCGATCACCTAAAATGCTTTCAAGTTTTTAGCTATGCTTGCATTTTGCCAAATCATGTTTAGTTTGATCCTTACTCTTTGCTCAAATTCTGCTTGCTAATAGTTCCCCAAACTCTCCCATAAATTCTGTGTTTGTAACAGATTTGTCTTCCCAATGTGCTTCCATCGGTAGTATTATAAGGAACTTCAAAACACAAAAAACAAATCAAAACTAAGTTGGAATGCCCAATGAGAAAATTAGATGGCTATTTCTTTATCATATATTTTGAGGAAAATTCTGTAATGGAGGCCTCCTGGGTGTGCATGGCCTTGAGTTATTAATTGAATGTAGCTAATCACATAGTGCTGAGGCTGCTATGAAAATCATGTCCCTTGGTGTAAAACCAAGAGTGCTCAGAGACAGTATGATAGGAAATACCTTCTAACATTCACACAGCCCTGGCTCCTGGAGGGACATGTAGTATGACAGCTTTAGGCAACACAGTAGCCTTTGGTCACTCCCTTCCTTTTATGTAAATAGTGATTTTGCAGTGCCTTGGAAAAAATTGTCCTGAGTTATTATTTATTCTGCTGACGAGCATTGCTAGATAATATATGTAAGAAACACCTCAGTGTTCTTTATAGGTGCTAGAAAGACAAATACAATGGAACAAAATAACTTTTGGGAATCCTGTTTGTAACCTGTACATATGTGTGTCCAGTTATGATTTGGGCTTATGCTATCTGAGTTTCTCTTTTCTTTTATAAATGAACTCAGATGGAATAAATTGTGGCAAATGAGCCTTGTCAGCTTTAAGGAGCATTTGTTTGCTGCTGGTCACAGAGTAGGAACTCAGTGAGTAACTGTGGAGTAGGCTAGTTCTTTACTGTGCTTCTCAATACCAACTAAGCTTTATATCTTAATTCATGTGCCAGTATACCAATACATAACTAATACATTTACCTAAAGCAGATAGAAAATGATATTTCAACTGGCTTCTTTTTACTCTCAGTACTTCTTAGGTCTTTTCCCTTACAGTCTTACTTGCCTTCTCTTTTTTACCCTTTCTTCCTCTGCTTACTTCAAAGACAAAACACAAGTTGTGAGTGTATTCTGGAATCTGGTTGGGATGATAAAAGAAGAAGCTGTTCTATTTACTTGTGTTGTTTCCCTCTTGTAATTATGTCACGTGCTTTCTCTGTAGCTCACAGTTTTCATTTTTCCAAAATGTGCTGCTCTAAGTTGCCTGACAGTTATAACTGCCTACGATGTCGGTATCCCGTTGCGCTGAGCATGTCTGTTTGCATTTCAGGAGCTATGCCTGTCCCAGACCAGCCTTCATCAGCCTCAGAGAAGACCAGCTCCCTGAGCCCCGGCCTCCCCACCTCCAATGGGGATGGCTCAGAAACGGAGACCACCTCCGCCATCCTCGCCTCGGTCAAAGAACAGGTAGAAACATTCCACTTTTGCAAGATACTTACTGTGGGGACATTTTAAAATTGTTCTTTTTCAGATGACCAATGATGTCTTGATTATGTTGGACGAAAATTATGATTTTCTAACAGAAGGTTGATATTTGTTATAAAAATAATATTAAAATATAATTGCTTTTGAGTCAATGATTTTATTCATGATTTAGACAGCTTTCCTTGAAAAAAATATTCTATAAGGGAAACAATCTTTACAGTCAAAATTCTGTATAGCTGAAGCTTTAATAGCCTTGGGGATGGTCCTGACATTTAATGCTATTAAGTGCATGAAGCCAAACAATTTGTCTTTAGAAAATATAAGGTCTAGCCAACTGTCAAAATATATCTACAAGGCTAAAAAAATTAGTTTGTGTGACAGCAGATGAATACCATGTTGGGTCAAGGCGAATTGGTCCTCTCAGTGTTCCTGAGATGGATCAGGAGAGATGCAATTTAGAACTTCCCTGTAAAACTAATCAAAATCTGAATGATTGCTCCCCCAACATTCTTTGTTCTAAAAATGGATAAGTAAATAAAATCTGAAGTATTATATTTGATTTTTTTTCATGAAAGATATGTTTCTTGTAAATAAAAGGTGATAAATAATTAAAGAAAGCTGGAAAATCATGACTTTTAAACTTGCCTTTTCTTTTAGCTAGACTACAGATCAGAATATATCTAGATGTGTTATTTGAGTTTCTCGTTAAATAGAATATAAATGAGTATTCTTCCTTCAAAAGTAGCAAAATGTCCTGTGTTTGGGTTATATGATTTAGGGCCGCTGATTTAGCAACAGCAGTGAAGTGAGAGTGGACATAACCTACGTGACTCCAGGAAATTCCTAACAGAGCAACAGCCTAAATGGGGCAGCTAAGGGTTCCTCTACTCAAAATGGAGAAGAGCCCTAATTTTGTCAGAGGATACTTATTTTTTTTTAATAAGTGGAGACTGATTAAGGTTAGGGTTGGCAACCATCTAGATGGTCGAGATCAATAGCATAGCTGAAGAAAGATCCACTGATATGAGGGATCAATGATGCTACCAGTCAATAGTGTGCCACCCGGTTAGGTAGGTACACAAAGGTGCTAGGTAGATTGATTGGGTCAATCTATTTTGTGAAAATGGTCAGGAAGCAGGAAATTGGGTGGGGGCATAGATTGTATTCTTGATTAGTTTGCTTCCACAAGCCCACTGTGACAGTTTTCTGACTATTTTTATGGGGTAATAGAAAAGTGAGCAAAGATTCATGCCGCTCCCCATTCTCAGGATTCTGCTTTGTTAAAGTTGGTATATGTCATGGTTTCTTTTTCTGGTATATCTGGAAGGCTTGCTAAGCAGCTTTGGAGTAGTGACAAAATACAAAACACAAGGAATAAATTTAACAGAAAATGACTAAGACCTATCTGATGAAAATGATAACATTTTATCAAAATGCATAAAGTAATTCATAATAAATGACAAGGCACGCCACAATCCTGTGTAGAAAAGCTTGATATCATGACATTATTCCTCTCTCACAAATTAATATATAAAATTTAGGCAGTAGTAATCAGGATCTTGTGGCTGACTGTTTCTTTGGCAAGCTGGATCAAACTATTTTAAGGTTCATATGGAAGCATAAACATGTGTTGCAAGGAAAATTTTGATTAGAGAGATTTTACCTTTATAACGATAAACCACAGGGGTGTCCAGTTGGTCCAAAATAGAAACAATGATCTCTCTGTAGGATAGAACTGATGGTAAAGAACAGACTCAAGCATGTATAGGGAACTAATTCCTTTAAAGTATTTCAGTTTTAGTACAAAGCAGTGGTTTAAATGGTGTTAGCCTAACTGGCTAAATACTTGGAGAAAATTAAAGCCCTTACCTCACAATATGTAGGGAAATAAATCTCACTGTGAAAGCAGAGTAACTGTAAAACTATAGACATATTAGAAGAAACATTGGGAAAATGTTCATATAAATTAAAGTTAGGGAAGGATTTTAAGTATGACAGGAAACTCTGAGCCATACGTGAGTGGTTGATGCAGTTGGCAATTTGAATACTGATCTGAAGGAAAAATTCAACATAACAAAGTAGAAAAATAGACCAAGAGAAAATATGTGCCACAAATATGACAAGTGGTGATATAATTCATATATTAAATCTTTCTAATATCAATGAGAAAAAATAGGCAATTCATAGAAGGAAAATGCAACTAATCAATGAATATGTGAGGACATTTTCTACCCTACTGTACTAATCAGGGACATAAAATTCAAAATGAAAATATGATTTTCTTTAATCTACAAAAAAACAGACAAACATTTATAAACAGTATAAAGTATAAAATTTTGTTAAAGGTTAAAGCTTGAGGAAATTCACATGTAATCTTTGTTAAAATGATATGTTGCTATGGACTGGCATTTGAAATGTGCATTAGCTTTTGAGTAATCATGCTTAGACATAAGTTCTATAGAACTGAGTGATCTGGAACAAAAGATATTATGTATATAGGTGTTTATTACAAGATTATTTGGAATAGTAAAAAATATGGAACAATATTGATTGATGAAGAGTTAAAAAATTATGTATCCTTGAAGGACTATCCTTCATATAAAAGGTTTATATTTTCTATGTAGTTACTAATAAAGGTTAATTTGGGATATATATCTCACCTTTGAAAAAAATCCGTGAGAATTTTAGAAAGGCAGTGACATAGTACTATATTATCCTATTTTAAAAAAGAAAGTGATTATTTTTGTTTATATGTGTTTATGAGCGCCTAGAAAAGTGTAGGAGGAAATACATTAAACTGTTAACATTGCTTACTGTATATGTTTACAGTTAGATGGAGGCTAAATCAAATATGGGAATGAGCAGGGGATATAGAAGACTGGAAAGGTGATCGAAAATGGGAAAAAGAATTAGAGACTGGAGTAAATAATAATTGAATTTGAATAATAAGAAATATTCCTTCTGCTAAAAAGTGATTGCTCTGGTTGAGAGTAGATGAGGTCTTTAGAGCAGAACTATATTGCTCTAAATAAAATGGTCTCTCCAAATCCTTGATGAGAATTTAATAAAAACATGTGAGGAGTTGTTTTTTTTAATAACTAAAATAAACTCATCCATTTTGGACAGCAAAGGGAAGAATTCCTTGTGGTGGGTAACCAATACGAGCAGGAATGAGAATCTGTCCTAGGAGGCTGAGATGGAGCAGCCTTGAGCCACTCAGAATCAGTTGTTGAGACTAAGAAGACATATATTTAGATATGTAGTTAACAGTGATAGAAATGAATTCTAGTTTATGACCGTAGAGTGAAACTTATGCCATGCCAATCTCTAAGTCACAAAGTGTGTCCCATATAACGTGTGGCTTGACTGAGATATTTGTAAACTGAACCCTAGAGTTCTTAAACACAGCAGCCATGATTTTTCAATGAAAAGGTATTTATTGATTTTTTTGTTCTAATTTCCCATTTTGATTCCTTGTTAACTAATGAGTTTTAAATCTATATATTAACAAAAATAGAACCATGATTTATATTATACTCTATGGATAATCTTCTGTATTTCAGACATATCTGTCCTATGTCCCTCTCTTCCTATGGGGCTTTAAGAGAGTGACATCTACTCCCCATTCCCCTCCTATAAGTGAGTGTCCTTCACCAGAATAGGAGGTGGGGGCATGGAGGTTGGGCATGTGATGACTCTGGTCAGATGAATGGGATATACAACTGAGAGAGGTGATTGAGAACCATTCATTACAAAGAGGACCCCAAATTCTCTGGTGGCTGAAAGGGTAAGAACAGTCAAGGGATTCTTCTTTAAGGATGGGAGATATTCCTTTGATGATGGCAGTGACGTATAAGAGGAAAAATTAAGCATGCTTGAGAGAGGGGGAATAGTTTCAGGGGAACAGTCACCCAATAGGTTAGGGGCAACAGGACCCAGTGCAGCAGCAGAGGGAATGCCTTTTGGAACAAAAATAAGTCATTCCTGAGAACAGAAGAGAGGCCAAGTGCATGGTAGCACGTAGGCTGATGGCGTGGTCCTGGGAACATGTGGTTCTCTTCTGCTGTCTGCAGGCAGGCAGTTGTCTTGCTTTGTGTTGGAGCCTATTTGGAGTCTGTGAACTGTTGGGCTGAACCCTGGTGGAAAAGGGAGGCATTGGAGGTAAGGGACTGAAGAGAGTGATTGTACTGATGGATATTGGAATCAACATTGCATGAAAGTGCATAAGAGATAGAAAAATTGGTAGAGATGGTGAAGTCACAGAATGAGTAAGTATGGAGTCACAGAATGAGAATGAGCATTAGCTTGAGAACCATGTGCTTAAAATCAGGAATTTGGAAGTGATTATTGATAATGTCAAAATCAAGTTATGACTCTGGGAAATGAGATTAAAATGACAAAAGAGAAACCTTGTTGTTTCTGGGAAAGCTGGTGTGAGTGGCGATGGCATAAGGGTGCTGACTGAAAGGGCGGTGAGCAGTGGCTCATGTTACCTGTCGCAGTGGGGGAGAGGCCTGAGGTCACCCCACATCTGTGAACAGCACATGTTTGCATGTGATTCTCCGAGATCTTAATTTGTATATTTTCATTAGAAAAATTGTTATAATGTCAGTCTATTCCATTAGACAAGAATTCGTATTCACTCACTATATGCAAGTGTTTATATTTTTTCTTAAATCTGTAAGTGCACCACTTAGTTCTTCAGAAAACCACGACTTTCCTAAAAATGTGCTTACTTCAAAATATTTCTTTCCCTTCAGTTGATCATGGTTTCATTTGATCAGCCCATGTTTCCAAAGTTGTCATTGAAAGGGTCTTTGTATATAAGCTAGAAAGTTATGGGGCATTTTTAAAACCTTTAGAGATCATATAATTCATTGATCTTTACAAATTATTATTGCTCAGGTAAAGGTGTTTTGGTAGTAATTCTACCAGCCAAATATGTTTAATAATGAATAGATTAAATAGAAACTTTTAGGTAT